CAGGAATTTCATGCAGTTTCCTAAAATGGCTCTGCTTAGCCATTAATGTAATTTATATTTAGCACAAGACCACAGACAGATTGTTAGCCTAGACTGTTTCAGGGAAGAGCAAACCACTCAGCCTCTTTACTCACCGTGTGCTAAAATAAAGACCATGGCAGTAACATGGGAATACGACATTTAAAAAAATGCCAGTTGAACAAATTACACTGGAAAGCTGAGAAGAGATCCAACCCATCCTCAAGCAAAGCAATCAGAAGAACATCCTTAGCTAAGCTCAAGAGTAACAGAGTAGGACAAACTGCACACTCAAATAGATTATTTCCATTCTGAAGTTATAGTTTGCCTATACAAAACAAGCCTTTACAAAAAAACCCAAACCTATCTGCACACAGCAACAAGACAGCTTATTCTTTATCCATCCCCTTGAAAACCCCCACGTTCTACCTTCTGCTCCAGTGAAGAGCTGGCAGGAGGCACCTGCTTGCTGCTTTGCTGGACCGAACACAGGCCATTACTTTCAATGTAGTCTAATTTCACTAACTGGCGGCTGTTTAAAATCTCTCAAAGTCATTCTGGACAGTGTAACACATTTTGCATCATTCTGCTATGGCCAGAACACTAAATAAAAAGCAAAAAAGCTTCCTCTGGAAGATTCAAACACGTCTAGACAGCAACCTCACAGCAATTTCTACAGAACACTTCTTATCCTGACACTGAACACTGGTCATTCATACTGAAACCATACCAAACAGAAGAAAACACTAGTACTGACTCTCTCAACCAAGACACAAGGGGATAAAAAGATAGTGAAAATTAAGCATCTGCCTTACTGATACCCCTTCAGTGTCCTCACTCTCTTCCATCAGTTTGGCAAAGGGAAACGTACAAATACTTCAAGTTCATATACCTGTTCAATGGCATCAGTTCCAGAACACATCCCTAGCCTACTGGCCCTGGACCAAGTTCCCCATGGTGTGTTACTTGCTCAAAGGAAGAGAACTTTGCCTTTGACTGGTATGAAGCCATTAAATAGTGCAAGTTTCTACGTAGCTCAGTGTTCCTAAACTTATGAAGCTTCATACAATCATTTATTTTTACAATAGTCTTTAACCGGGGATAAGGTCTTTCTTCATGTGTATCATTAAACATTTACTGTATCAGCATTCCAACGTTTTTGTAAAAGTGAAAGCCATTGGAATACATTATGAATTTTGAAGGCATTAATTAAAAACACTCACTGACTTCAAAAGCATCTTTGAAACAAAAGAATCCTGTACAGTGAGGCAGGATTTGCGGTATCTGATATTACCAAGCTACATTAAGTTGACAGAAAAACCCAAAAGTGCCTTGTATTCAAAACTGAAACTATGTTAAAAATATAACAGAACACAGTTCACCTCAGAGGCACTTAAAAACTTCAATGAAAATTCCTAAATCCACTCACACCCTATTTACATTCGGGGAGCTGTAACTGCACGAAAATATGATCACTTCTGGAAATTCAAGCACAACCTACCAACCACTACTGATTCTGTCCTCAGATGCAAGGAATACAGTCATTAAAATAAAGATCTGTTGTGCCAATGAAGTCATCAATGGAAGGGATACTATGTGATGAAAGGAAGGCAAACAAACCTGACAGCACTCTGAGGGGGTTTTTTTGTTGGTGGTTTTTTTGGTGTGGGGGGGGGGGGTTTATTGGTTAGTTGGGGTTTTTTTTTAGTATACTTAAATATGAAAATTAATATAGTGATTATTCCTAAATTGTTACTGCATGTGCTATTTTTCCCGTCTTCAAAGTATCACCATTCTAATGTCCAACTGCCACTTACAAGCCATTTTAACTGTTTTCAACAACCTTCAGTGATCACTCCTAGGCAATGATGTACCACTTTGTTTTAAAAGTCTACAGACAGACTTAGAATAGGGAATCTTTTCTACACAGAAAGCTGTATAAATAAAGAGCTGAATCTGATCATTTTCATATGCTGCCAGGCTTTGGATGGATAAATGTTTCCAAAGAGCTGGCGCCTCTGTTTTGGGTAGAAGTGCATGGAATATTGCAGGATTCCCCTTCCCTCCCCCACTGAAGCAGAATCTGGTCTCTATTAAAGGCATTTCAGCTGTAATTCTACTGTCTGAAATATCCTGATTTTATACAGTGTTGCAATTCCTAAACCAATCATTAACACTGATGAGATTCTGTTCCAGGTCTGGCAATTCCGAGTTTTACTGTCCATGACAAGCTTAGCAGGGAACAAAAATTTTCAGGTTTAGTAATGATGAAAGATGTATAGATATCATATTAAAAAGATTATGCTGAGGGGATCTTCATCTGTGTGTAGAGTAACATACATAAAAATTCACTCCGCACACTTAGAACCCACCTTTTCTAGCTGCCCTACAAAAACCTTCAAGTACCACCCCTGTAGTGCAACCAAAGATACTATTTGACCTATTGAAATTACACAAACAGTACACAATACAGTTGGGCTAACATTTTTACAGTTGTCAGCAATGTAATCGTCAGAAGGGTACAACTGACAAACCGTATTTCCAAGCTGACCAAGCATGTGAGCATTGGAAAATTCTATATAGGCCATAAATACAACAAGCATGGGAAGACACATTTATGCATTACTTTCTATTGAGAATGCTATATGATGATCATGAGCACCTTATATAAATGATTACTGATTAAAGTTCATTTGATTCTGCCGGAATGCTGCATTAGAATACAACTGAAGTGAATGTCAGAGAAATAATGAATAGTTTGGAAACCTGATTCCTCCTTAGAAATGCATTGTAAGTCTATCTCCAGCTCTCTCCCCTGCCCCACCCCAAAAGATCCTGATTTTTATGCAGTCCTAAGATCCAGAGTGCAAAAGCTCATCTGTAAACATTCCAGATATGTGGCCAGGACATCTCCCCCCAAATACACAAATGAAAACCAAAATGTAAAAGCCAGTTATAGAACTACATGTAATTGAGGCAAAGATCTCTTGGTTATACATATTAAACGTGTACAGTAAAATAAAAAATAAAGCATACATCACAAAATGTATTGCAATTATTAAAAAACTGTATTTGACATCACATAAATTTGAAGTACCTTTTGACAATGTTTTTCATTCTGCTTAAACATATTTCAAGTCAGTAATATTTCCTTTTCCTCCTTTCTGTAGGTGATGTACACTAGTGCTTTAGAGCTGGGACAATAACTGTTGTTGTTTTAAGAGAAAACGGGTACTGGCAGCTAATAAGGACACCATTTAATAACAACTGCCTGCTGCCTTATTAAATGCAAGAGTCTTTTCAGAAGTTATTGAATCCAGCTCCTGCAGCTGGCCAGGGATGTTGCTTTTTGTGTCTCAGTGTCACAAGTTTTGATGTCTGTCATGAAGCACCAGGTGCTCGATATTACCTCAATCTCACTGTTAATTGAAAGAGGTTTTGCACATTCTAGCTGCAAATAAGTGTTTTCTGCACTTGGAGGAAAGAGCAAGTCTCTCAGAACTCCAGTTATTTCAGGAAGCCTCATTCTTTTTTAACCTTCAGCATTCAGTAAGCACACAGCTGCTTCTCTGTACTAACAGGAGTGGGGAAGAAGGGCACAGTAAAGGAAAATAAATCAAGAACAAGCTTGAAGTAAATTGAGGTCAAGGACATAAATAAGGCTGGGCTTAAAGTTCCAACTGTGTTGTTAAAATTAAGGCAGGCTGCCACAGATCTTCATGAACAGCTTTAAGTTAATTCTACCTTCCTTTTGACCTGAACTTACAAGCAGGTTCCAGCTATGCTGTGACAGAGACAGAATAATTCAGGTAATCTAGCTGTTGCTCCAAGGATCCAGTGGTAGTGAGACTTCCAAGGCAAGAATTTTACCTTTGCTACAGCTGACATCTGACCTGGTTACATCAGTGTTTGTAAGGAGATGCACACACCAGCCATCCCTTCAGAGAGAGAGACATTATTCTCTGCATCTGCCTCTTCCCTCTCGTTCTCATGCTCAGTGTCTTCCAATTGTACTTGGAAGGGAAGAAAGTCTGTCCAATCATCTCAATTATCAGTAAGGATGCCAGAAGAAAAGTAGCTTAGCAATAACAATAATCAAATTTTCTAAAAACCTGAGAAGCAGCAGAGTGATCACATTTGATTATATTACAGTCAGGCTGTACTGATGAGGCAGGAAGTAGGAAACAGAGTTAGTAAGGGGAAGAAATTCAAAGTGTTTCTATTTTCTCCCTATTCTCTGCCTGACCTACAGCCTGCCTTAACTTGCCAACTCTCCTTATGTATTACTCGTCCTCTTACAGCTCTTGCCTTTCTGACATCTCAGAGCAGCTGGTTTCCATTCCCTTTTACTGGCTCCTCTTTTCTTGATCCCAGTAATTTCTGCTCTCATCAAACAAGACCAAGATCCAAGACTGTGGGGCCCTAATGAAGCAAAGAACAAGATAGGGGGGACTACACCAGTGAAAGAGAGGAGTAAGACTCCCCGCTAGTAAGAAAAGGCGAGAGGAAAATGAAACTAGCCTGTACAGGAAAGCAGACCGTGGCATCTGATTAAATTCAATGGTAATGTTTCCCACAACATGGGACAGCAAGCTACAACATTATGTGCCTGCAGTTCCTGAAGCCTTTTCTGTGCTCATGAGAAATGCATGGGGCAAAAGATCTCTCTCTCTGCTATTAAAGTATCAGTTGAGAGACATAGCAGCTCTGCGCACAAATGTATCCTTACAGCTTAAGTACCCACAGAAAAGGCCATCTACAGAAAGGAAAAAAGGATAAAAATCAGAGAATTCTTATCAAAACTTCAAAACCTTGAAATTAATTTTATGAGAGTTAAAACCAATGCATTTTGCAATTTTTATACGACATCAAACAGCAAACAGAAAACACACAATATCATACAAACAGACAAATAAATGGAAACAATCTAAAGTTTTGGGAAAGTACTAACCAGTTACTGACAGCAGCTGTGAAACCCTCACCTCCATTTCCTCCCGATGAGACCTGTCTCTATCCTCAAATTCACGAGTTCTTCGCCGAGCTTCTTCAAAGGCTTGTTGTGCCAATGCATCCTCCTGCTACCAAATCAGATAACACAGAGTGACACAAGAGGCTACCCTTATTTCTATCTGATCACATTTCTTTTGAATATTAGGGATCACTTGGCAGCAAAGACAAGTATGTCCTACAGAATCTGCTAGAACACAGATGAGTCCCAGCAAATGCCAATATAGGTTAATGAAATAATACTCACCTTCATCACTGCAGTAGAAATACCCAAAGCTGCAGCCACAGCTACTACTAAAATACATTTTCAAAGGAGAACTGCTTTTCCAAAGTAGTTTAAAATGCTGCTGTTTTTCTAAAAGCTAGGAATTCTCAAAAGTTACATGAAAGAGGCAATACATTTTATTCTGCTTATAAAAGTCATTTTGAAGACTGTATTCACAGCTCTAGCTAGCGTTCACTAGCATAATTATATAAAAATGGTAATTTAATTCTCTTTCATTTAAAAAAAGGTATTATCTAAGTTACAAACCAAATAAATCCTCTATTTTATCAAAAGCTGCTGAAGATGCATCAGTATGAACATTCCTAATCCTTCAGTATTATTTAAATTTAGATGCATAGGAAAACGCAAAGCAGAAATTATTCCTCCACTAATTTGTGCACATCCCCATACAATTCAGAAGAAACCTGCAGGTTTTCAACAGCCCTGTTGTTTATTTTCAACAATGGCTTATGCACAGGAATAGATTTAATAAATTAATGCTCAAAAAAAAAATTCCTTTGAACCATATTTTCTATTAGAAAAGGTTTTAAATAAAGTGTTATTAATATGTAAGCCATTATTAACTGGGTTACAAATTATTTCTCTTAAGAGACCTTTTAGCACATATTTTGCTCAGAATGAAAATAGATGGCTCTGCTCCCCACCAGAATTTTAAAATGTTCAGAATGGAGGAGTCAAGTCTAAAGAGGTCCCACAAAACAGTGAGGGATAAACTATATTAGCTCTTCCTCCTCATAACTCCTCAGCTGTAATTACTACTAACTCTGTTTATGATTCCCATGTATACACAAATGTTATTTTCAAGTTGATAGTTTTATTAAAAAGAAATCCTCACCTTGACTGTTAGAGGACATAAACATGTTGAAAGCCTAACTAAATTTTAATATACCAAGGGATTAAGCACATAAATTTTTTAGTTTAAGATAAAGCATCCCTAGTCTGAGAGGACGTTAAATTGCTTTTTTTGCCATCGGCACAACTGTGCACCCTAAAGCTACTTTGTGAAATGATGTGAATGAGTGCCCCTTGTGGCCTAACACAGTTAAATACAAACATCTGTCAGTCAGTAACTCCGCACGGCCAGGTCCCCAGAAAGCTATGTTGAAAGACAATGTTTAAAGCTGCCAGTAAGATAACATTTTAACACTACCTACTATTTTTAAGAGTAGAATTTGGCCCTTTATATCTATCTTAATGTTCACGCAATGCATAGCAACCAAGGTCAGACAGTGGAAAGTAAGTTTGTGCTTAATAATGCAGAAGCATAAGAGATAAAAGATAAGCTTGTCTCCCAGATGACTACAGAAAAGCTGCCTTATTTCTAATTTACAAAAGCTATGTATGTCTTGTTTAAACAGACTTAAATGAAAGCAGATTTTTTTAATGAAAGATTTTTGCATTTTACCATCATTTAAAGTGGTCATGAAATAAAAGGCAAACATATAACCTCAGACAGAGTATTTTAGAAAAATGGTCATAACCAGAAGAAACCAATCAGAAATTAACAGGAAAAGAATCAGTATGTTGGCATCCAGAATGAACACACTGTTGACAGCTGAAACACTGGTTTACTAATGTCGGGGACGGGGGACGGGGACACGACACACGAACGAAGCATCAGAACTTATTTTTTTAGGTAAAAAAGAAAAATCCTGCTCTACTCCTGGTGATGTGTTGTAACAGAAATTTAGTTAACTAATGTCTCAGGATCTTGAACAACAGGAATTTAACAAACTTTTTTTCAAGTGTCATTCAAATCTAGTAATTATAGCCTAACGAATTTGGCTGTATGAGACCCAGTCATTTATCCATCTTAGTTTTAATCAATAAAAATGCTCCTGGTATAAATCTACTAAGAAAAGGAAGAAGTGGCAAAACATGAGCCATATCAACAGGAGAACAGAGCAAAACAAACCCCCCAACCCAGAAACACACAAAACCAGAGAAGCTTAAACACACCCCCACTCATACACATATCCCCCGCCTCCAGCAGCCTGGTAGGAAAAGACTTTTTGAGAACAACCATTTGTAACTACCAAATCTACATAGCAAGAATCGTCTATTACAGAAGACATACTAAAGTACTGAAGACAGAAACAGTCTTTTAATGACAAGATAAATGTCAAATCCAGGGAAATTTCAGCCCCCAATGGGGAATATATTCAAGAACATATGTAGAGCTTTGTGTGTGTTAGTCCACTGAAGTCTGAACAAACAGCTGAATCAGGGCCTCCAATAACAAAAAGTAAGACTGCTTAGTAGTAAGATATTAACAGGCTGCAAATTAAATAGAAAGAACACTAGCTTAAAAGTTACAATTAAAGTACTTTATTGTCATGCATGTGGTTTTTCTTCCTAAAATATTTTTTGACCTGGTGAAGGATAGTATAATTTCCAAAGTGCGTCAGCGAAGAAAAATTTTATCCTATCCCAGTATTAGTTAGTAAGAAATGGTAAGAGACAGGAAAATGCAAGAGCGTTACATTTGTATAAGGCAAGCCTTCCAGAAAATGGGAGTAAGGGGTGCATATGAGGGTGTGTGTAAATGCCAACAGGACTTCTTATTACAAAAGACAGTGGGTACCACAGGCACTACATTGCATAGTATGAGGCACTTAAACCCATTCTGACATCAGTGTTATTTTGGGATCAAGGTCAGCAGTTAGGTGAACTGTGACTAGCCAGTTTTTAAAAGGAAGCAAAATGACAGATATAGGAAAAAGGACACTGAAGAACATAAAAGATTGCCCAAATGTTTACAATACTAACAAATACAAGGGTGCAGCTACTTCTCTGTGTCTGTATAGAGCCTTATGACACTGGGAACTCTTAGGTACTACTACTGTAGCAAATGAGATGAGCGATGACCTCCTTGTAATCGCTGAGAAGCACAAACTGAAAACAAATTGCACACCTGTAATTCAATGCAAACGTATCTCTGTAGAACCACACTGTGTAATATATCCAGCTCAGCACCCTGTACTCAAAACTCAAGAAAGCACTACCACCTGAAAGCATGCATACATCCCGTCACAAGCCCCCCCCCCCGCAACAGAATAAATCACGTGCTTTGTGCGCAAACACTTTCTGAAGACAACAAAAAGGAATTCTTAAGTGTCAAGACAGCATATACCAATCGGGAAACTAAAATAATCCAAGAGCATGCAAGAATGTTTATCGGGGAATTAAGAAGAGAAAAACTGAAACCACAGATCACCTGACCACCCTTTTTGGAAGGGTGCCTACTTTTTTCAGGAACTATGCAATTTTGGAAGAGTGACACTATCTCCTTCTGAGCACATGTTCAAATCAGTCTCCTCTCAGTTCAGAAGTCATGTGACTTAGTGTTATGTATCAAGCTTAAAAGTTAATAGATCAAGAACCTTGGGATTTATCTTGCACAGTCCTCAGGGGTCTACATTTGACCTTGCTGTATAAGACCCTACAGTCTAATGGCCTCCTAATCAATGGGAGTCCACAGCAGTTACTCTTTCCAAAGAGCACACTGCTGCAACAGGACCTTAGCTAGCTCAAAATGCCGACACCCAGCTTTGGAAGAAGTGAATGCCACAGCAAATAGTAGCATTCAAGTAAAAGCTTATTTCTGTGGCTTTTCGTCCAGATTAACAAAAGGTGGCAGGACTATTCTCAGAGTAGCATACCCTCTTTTTCTAGGCATCCTGAAGAAAGCATGCAGGGCTGTAACTATTTCAAAGACACTGTTTTGACACAAAGTATTTCTATTTAACCCAGAACATAGTCACAATAACATGATCTCATTAATGTGCAAATTGGTTTCTTAAGTTAGCGAAAGGCAAGGCACCACAAAGCTTGTAACTGTACATATCTCCATATAAAATTTGATTTGAATGCTTCCAGCTCTTGAACAAATTAGTCAATATGCCCTCCAGTTCCACATGCCTAGAATAGAGGGGTGCTCTTGGTATTTAGGTGGAATCACAGGGTTCCTACTTGTTATGTAGTGACCAACTGCGGCTGTGGAAGGACTAAAAGGGAAACCCCAAGGAACTGAGGGCTGAGAATGAGGCACACAGTGGAAACAGAAAATGCATCCTTATTTAAATCAGTTCCAGTGCACAACTGCCAGAAGCAACCCCCCAGAGGGCACAAAGGGAAAGTAAAGGTAACTTGGAAAAACAAACAGTTTGTGTGAATATTAAATTTTTGCAAAAATGACCTATATGTATGACATACACAAGGTGTAACAAAGACAGACAAAGGGAATCACCAGTGTCACTCAAACCAGTTCAATTACTCACATGAGTGAGTTGCTTTGGGTCCCTGAGTTTAAGGGAACAAAAGGAAGGAGATAAAGGAAGCCCCAGTTTTATTATGCTATCAAGATGAAAAAGACAAGAGTTACCACTTAGCAGACATTCAACAGTGGTTCAAAGTGAATTACTCAAGTTTTCAGAAAAGTTAGGGGAAGTCATGATGGTCTTGGGTGAAAGAAGAAGTCTTCAGAGAGAAGTTAGGAGTAAATGGCTATATACAGGTACAGAGTAAATTATTAAGAATCATTTGCTGGAGTACCAGTACAGAACTTGGGGAGGAAAAAAAGGCTGCAGGAAATTGCTCACCCTTCTTCTTTTCTTTGCATACTTAACAAACCCTTGTATTAAGCAGCACTTTGGACCATGCCTTCATATAGTTCTAACACTTCCAAATTATCAAACTACAGAAATGAACTGCTGAGTTCACCACAGTACAGATTTTAAGTCAGAACTCTGGTACCTGATGTCACTACATCCAATTTACTGTCCACTGCAGAGACAGGTGATCTGAGTGGAAGCCCACGCAAAGCTGGTGCAGCACCTTTCAGTATCAGTTAAGTAGCTTTGCTACCAAGCTACATCTCAAAAGCTAAGATCTGTCTCAAGTCTGACTAAATTAAGGAACCCTACAGCTGTGTAAGCGAACTGTACGTATGGGATATGCACTTAAAAAGTAATTTCATCTGTGTTTACTTTGTTCTTGTGCGTGTCCAAAGATTCAGCTGCTAGGACAGTCACTTTGGTGGTAGGAAGTAGGTAGATAGGAAGTAAGTTCTCAAAAGCTGCCATACCTTAACAGAGCAGAGAGTCTACCACTGTCAGAGAACATATGAAAAAACCTTATTCATGCCCCCCCCCAATATGTAATAAAACAAAAAGCTACTTAAAAAACCCAATCACCCTAAAGTAAACAGCTAGAATAGACTTGCCAGTTAAATTATTACAAGTGACAGACATTGCTTTTCAAATACTTGTAAGATTCACTACTCCGTAGCATAGTAACAGTGCTAAATCACCCACAAAGTTGTAAAGTACAGATGATTCCTGCCTCTAATATTTTGATCTAATTAAAATACTAGCTTAGCTGCAACCACGTATTTCTGAACTTCTGTACTGGAAGTTTTCTTTGGAATTAGTACTCAAAGTGAAGGCAGAAAACAAGAAAATTACAACGTGTGATCACTACCTGACTGTGCATTTCCTTCCAGAAGAACAAACGTCTAAAGGCACAGTAGCCATGGGCAGACTGTCTTACCTGTGCTCTCTCTTCATCAAATTCCAGGCAGCCCATACCATCCAGTCTCTGTAGATCTATCCAGCCTTTCCAGATTACACAGACACCATTGAGAATCATAGGTGCCTTCAAGTACACCTGAAATAAAAACAAAACACATGCTATGAATTTGAAAGCATTTACACACATGCCTGCACAATGAAAATACTGATGCAGGAAGCTTCTGTATGTATTCTTAGAAGAACATCCAAACCAGCTGGTAACATGAGACTCCACTTAACAGCTTCTCCTGCCTCCTTTCCAAGAACTCATTTTAATCAAGTGAGTGCTGTAACTTTTGCCTACTGTACTGGATGGAATAAATTTAAGCTGTGTTCTCATTTTATAAACTGGCATGCACCAGGATTTGGTTAAAATTCTGTTACTGCTTTCAGTTAAAGTAACCGCTTTTCTTGTCAGCTTACCTTTGTGTCACAAAGTGGCATGCTGCCAGACAGGGAGGATGCTTTACAGTACATTTAAATGGTTAAATGAACACATGCTTTGCTACTCCCAAGAAGCACTGTATTTTACCCCAATACATGAGCTCTTTCAACAAAGAACAAGCACGGGTTTCAGTCCTCCTCAAATTTACAAAGTCAGGGTTTAGTAAAATACCCTATATATACACACCATGCTAAAATTAAGAAAGTCTTCCTGTGTCTATTCTAGCCATTTGTGAAAGGCTTTTCAAAAGAAGCAACACCAGACGATCAAAACCCATCTACAGCACCAATGTGCACAGTGCCCTGAGCTGCAGCAAGGAATAATGCATGAGCTTAAGGCCCTACATCTAGATAATGGTAGATGATACAGTCATTTAAAGCAGAAGTATTTCCCCTTCTGAAGACCAGAGATTAATCTCCACACAGGAAATTTAAAAAGAAGCAAATAGAACACTAAATGAGTTTGACACCTTGTATTTAATGACATCAGTCTTAAAAAAACCAAAAACAAGCCACAGCAGAATTACCCAAATTGTAAAGAAAAATCCACCTTCAGTAGTTATTTCAGCCTATTTGGCAAGTCAAAACCCCTCATGGAACAGAATTAGTTTGTCTACGTTGAATCACCAAAGAGGCAAACCACCCGTGCAGGCTGGCACCCGCTTCAGATTTAAAGACTGCCTAGACATTGAAAATCCTACTGAGCCTTTTCAGTCTTCAGGAGTGGCCCAGCTAGGTAGCAGAATTTTCACACAGCACCTCCTCTAATAGTTCTAAATTCATCCTCTGACAAGCCAGCAAAGTATAATTGATGTTTAGCACTATAGCACATTTCAAAGCACCCCAACTGGGCCTACTTGCTCAGTTCCACACTTATCAGCTAAGGTCACTCAAGCAGAAGAAGAAAGGGCTTAGGGATACAAGAGGTACAGAAAGAAGGTAAGCCTTCCTTATGCAAAGGCTGTCCTGGTAAAATTAAGCACTGAACAACATGAAAGGCAATCCATGAGTGGAAGAAAGGCAACAAATAACTGACAAACAAGTAATGTTACTTGCCAAAGAAAATACACATTTGATCCCTGAGCTTGATTTTTACAAGTTATCACACTGCAGTATGAAGTGACATACTCTAGAAGTTTTAAATTAGTACAATATGTAGTAGCTCAATAATGAAGAAATAAAGGTTAGTTCAAGCATAGATCTTCTTTGTTATCAGCTGCAGGGTCTCCACTGAGAAGAGCACAGACCGGTTTTCTGTTCTTGGATTCACAGACTAGCTGTGCAAGCCATCACACCTATGTCTTCCGTGATGACAGCACACTACGCAGGGTGCAGGTCTACCAGCCAACAGCCTTTGCGAGCAGAGGCCTCAGAACCAGCATGAGTAAGAGGTGGACTACCAGGAAACCACCTCCCACAACTCTCATTTCAAGAGTAATCATTTCAAACATACGAAATACAACATTACTCCCTTTCAGCACAGCCTTCACTTGTTCATCTCACAAGAAATAAACGAAGTACGCACCATCAATTTAATAGATGCATTTAATTAGCTTCAAAGTGAAAGACAATTAAAGAGGCTATTAGAATCAAAAGTCATTCTCTTGTAAGAAGAATGCAGAATAATTCAAAAGGAAAAAATAAAAGGCAGCAAAACCTAACTATGGGTCTGAAAAGACAAAACAGTCTGTATTCTAATGCTAGTTACTTTTTGCAGAAGCAAACAAGCATTTTGCTGATTTTCATTTAGGGTTTACCTTTCACCTAGCCTCCCCTATCCTTCTGGCCCACAACAAAAGCCTGGGACATCAAAAGTTACATGGACTTCCGACAGATGACAAAATGTAGCTTTTCAAGTTGTCCAGAAGGAGAGTATTTTTTGTTTCATTTCTTTGACAATGAATATTATGCTGCCACTAACCGTCTCATTTCAGCAGCTGCTCAATTGCCTTGGTTACTGCAGCTGCTACTGCATTATATACAAACTTCATAGCTCAGGGCAAACAGTAGGTAGCTCAGATGTAGCTGCTGAGGGCTCAGTCCTTCAAATGCAATGCCTTGCGCATCACCTGGAAGCCTGAGCAGTGCTGGAAATTCTGTGAAAGTCTTCAGAAGTCAAAGGGGAAAAAGGAAACATGTTGACAGAGCCAATGTGATTACTGATGTCTACTATCTGCCCTAAGCACACTGACCAACAGCTGAGCTGCTGACAAAGCATCTTGTGAACCACTGGCATGCAGCCTGACCTTTTCAGATAAAGTACTCTGCCTTTGCTCCTGAATCAGAGCCCTTAAAGCCTTACACCACTGGATTCAGTAGGTCTTTGAAACTCAGATAATAAACATGTTTCACCTCTGAAAGGATGAATTCCTTAGCAAGATATTTGAGTTTTGAAATTACTATATAATCATTCAAATTTTATATAATTCGTATTGAAACCACAAGCGCTTATGCAGGAACTTTTCTCTCATTAGAACACACAATAAAGCATACTGGTGCTTTTTCCTTTATTTTAGAGAAAGGAATTTAGACTCCTTTTCCCCCTCTCCTCTTTCTGGAGAACGCAAACCACCTAAGACTGTAGCCAAAACCGTTTAACCACCTATTTCCTTCTCTTCAGATAAAGCCAAGCTGGTTCCGTTTCAATTTCCGAACTTAACAGAATTAATAAATTACTGCTCTTGTCTATGAGCACATGATCTGTTATGGCACCTCAAAATCCAGCACACAGTTGTCTTTTAAAAACTTTCAGAATTCTCTATTCTGAAAGTTGCCTTAAGACAGTCACAGTAAGAGAGCAAAGGCAAAAGCCACATTATTTCTATAACAACCCCAACTTCTCCCCTTACTACTACTGAACTATACAACTTGATCAAAAGTAGATGTAAGTATGTCTTTGTTAGAATAACTCTTTCAAGGTTTTGTTGCTAACCCCAGATTAACTGCATTTATTAAATTTTATAAATCCTCCCCACAGCTCTGGGTGCTTTTCATAATAATACCTGGAAGTCAAGACACAGGTGAAAAGCACTAGGGAGCAGTAGGAAGAAGGAGGGGCTGGTAGTCAGGCAATTACCAACTTCATGTTCAGTGGACGAATTTAATGCCACATAAAGAAACACCATTATAGGGACATACAAGAGGAAAAGATATATTACACAGCTGCCTCCTTTCAGAGTACAGTCCATCCTATAAACCAAACAAGGTATGGCTTTTCTGACAGTGACAGCAGACAGTTGTATAACTAAGTTAAGCATTACTATACTCACATTTAAGGAGTAGAATAAGTTCTCCCTCATTCTGCACCCTCGTTTTCCACACACCGGCACAAAGCTAATTAGTTTGTTAGATTTTGAGACCTAGGTAAACTGTCACATACTGAAATATGCAATTTTTCCTAGCTTATACCACCTGAATTTTTGTTCAGGTGGCTGTTACACAAAAGTTTAATTTCACCTCAATCTACATGTTCCATTTCAAACTCCTACTACAAATCAAAGTAGCATTAGAATTTTTCAAACAAGAGAAGTAGACATATTACTTTTACATTGGAAACAGGCTTTTATTGTTAGAACAGATATTCAGCTTGCTGACTAAACAACCACCAAGGGTAAACACTCTTATCTCCTGACAGATTATCTGGATGGAGGATGAACAGCACCACAAACGCATGTAAACTTGAGAACGTGCTGCATGAATATGTCAGGCTCTAAGTTGCTGGGCTGTGCTTGTGCTTTCTCCGCCTACCAGCTGGCTTGATCTCAAAGACCTGTGCCACACCTTCAACATATTGTGTATATCACCTTCCTTTTTGTACCCTTTCAACTAATCTGTTATTTTCTTTTCATCTGCATTTAAATGAGCAACACTGTCGTCCAACTAACTGGGAATTAGCTTCGTTGTTAAAAATAGGCAGGGACGTGGCTCCTGTAACCCCATTCGTTCATATTTTAAAAACCAAACTTGATTTGAATATAGTGAAGCAGACAGAGGACAATTCTCAATGACTTTAAAAAAAAAGCTGCTTTACTTGAGCACAAGACGCAAAACCTCAGTTTCACATCCTATTTTAGTCCTCTAGTAAATCCTTATCTCACAACACCAGGACATTTAACTGATGTGCTATAGATATGCTATCTGCATGCTCCATCCACACATCCTGCAGTTACAGAAAATGTTCCTTCTCCCTAAAGCAACCAAGCCATTTCCTCCCCCAGAGATTGCACACAGTTCTCACCACCCACTGACTAATGAATCAGCACGCTCACAACAGCCACTGATGAGACCAGCTTCACCCCCCCCAGGAAACACCAGTCCCCAGTGAAGTGGTGCAGTCCCCTCCCTTCTGTTTTCATTTTCCCAGCACACTGGAGCAAAACGCATTCTTTCAGAAGAGGCTCAGTTCTGACTCACCGTCTGTCTCATCACACACGCATCTGCCCATTCATAACTGCTCACACAAGCTGTCTCTCTCTTGGTTGAGCCAAGCACGTATGTCCCGGTTTTGATCCCACCTTCCCCTGAATCATACCCCACTTTTAAATATTTAAATAGCAGTCTCCCCACTAACTTCATATATGAAACACTGACCACTAAGAAAGAAACAGCTGTAAACATTTACTCCAAGTAAGATAGATGCTAAATCGGTTAAGG